ACAGAATGAGATAAAGAACTAACTTGTCAGTGAAGAAAGATACTCCCACCCTCACTACCTTTTCCTCTTGCCACCCTCCAACACAGCAAATCAAGACCAAAAAGAAGCTAGACTCGCAGTTGTCAAACTATGCCAAGGTGTCGCAGGGGCCTTGGCCACCTCATACAAGAACTGTGGAATATTTTAAATATTTGAGGGAAACAGCAGTACTCACTCTCTACCAGACACTACATGAACTATCAGCTTGAGATGTTGCTCCACTTCAACATTAGATCCTGTTAAATTCCTCTAAATAATGTCATACCTTTGTAAAGTTGGGTGTCTGATAGTTGCTGTCATAAAGGACAAGTGCTTCTTGAAAATCAGAGTGAAAAAGAAAATGAGGTGGCACTTAGGGGTGCTGTGAAAAAATTACTAGGACAGTAAGAGCACCATGAACTGAGGAAGTCTGAGAACCTCTGAACTAGACAAAGAGAAGGTAATGAGAAAGATACTTCCCAGATCAGACCATTCCCACTTCTACTGAGACACAAAAAAGATGAAAGTGTATTTTATCTTCCTGCAATCCCTTAGGTCAAACCTGATATGAGGGGAGGGTAAGAACAGAGACTTTAATAAGGTTTGACCTTGATATGTCAAACTAACTGTACTGATAGTAACTGAAAGTGACCAGAAAATTATGAACTCCCAGAGATATACTCAAGGGAAGGAAAAGGTAAAATTAATCGAGCACAGCTAAAAGCAATGAAGTGAAGAGAAAATAAAATTCTGTCACGTTGCTATTCCACTCAATTGTGCTACTTCAATTACAGTAGATAAGGCCCATTAACCCCTACTCAATGGCCTGTGTAGCAATTCACAACCATAGGAAGCAGCGGTAAATATAAAAGTGAATTTCTTCATGCATTCACGCATTGAACAGATATTTGTAGATGCGGACTATGTGCGGAGCATTTTACTAAATCTAATGAACACAGGGAGGATGTGAGAGTGATCTGTGACATCTGTTCCCTACTAATCACACAGGTGATTTGGCTGATCTGGCTGAATAAGAGGGTGTCTCCTTCCTCATTCCTCCACATGAGACTTCCTCAAAGAGAGGCTGGCCTTCCCTGGTAGAGGAGGATGGATTCCTCAGCAACACTACATGAGTACCAGCACTCTCCTGTAGAGCCTCCAAACAAGCCCTCAAAGAACACATGGAAGAGCCTGCAAAGGACGGTGCTTAAAAACATGAATGGGGGAACCCCTTCGGGTCCCCTCCCACTATGGTAGCTTCTCTATCCTCTCAATAAATCCTGCTTTCTAAACAAACAAACAAACAAACAAACAAAAAACCATGACCATTCCAACCCATTTAGACCACTACCATGTCCTTATTTTATTTTTCCAAAGCACTCACTGTAGACTGAAAGGAACTCTATTTTATGTATGTCTTAGTCTGTCCCAATACTAGAATGTTAAGCGTCAAGAGGGCAGGGACTGTTTGTCTTGTTCTTCCTCCTCCTGTCCTCAACTTCTCAACACTGGCATAGCCCATAGCTCTATCCTGGATCCTCTTCTATTTATACTCTAATTCCTTGGACACAAATACTATATAGACTCATGCCGTATATGTATTCAGTGATGCCCTTTCCCGAGAATGCCCTTTGTGCACATCCAACTGCCTACTTGAAAAAGGGATAGTGACTAGGCACCTTGAACTTTATATATGTTCTTCCATCCCCCAACTCCGCTACAGTCCCTAACCTAGATACACTGCTCAATCTTCTTATACTCAGTAAACGGCATCATCACCTACACGAATAGTGGACAGTCTGGGGCTTAAGCCAAAATCCAGAATTTGCCCTTGGTTATTTGTTGTTCATCTGCAAATTCCTATCCAACCTACTTCCAAAACATTGAAATTCCAGCTCCTTCTTGCATGTCTTTCACCAAACTACTTTGGGCAGTCTTTCGTGCCCAGGAGTCTACATAGTCCAATTGGTCTTCCTGTACCTAGTTTTCACACTGCAACCAAAGATACATTTTCATACCTAAAATTTGATTACCACTGCTCTGCCCCTCCAAAAAAACCCACACACCTAATTACAAGTTTGTCAGTTTCCAACTCCTCTTCAAATAGTCAAGGGTCCTAACAAATGTGTAGGGTCCACATGGTCTGGCACTGCCTAGTTGATTTGTTGGGAAGCTTTCCTCCCATGTTTGTCTTCTAGTTTTCATTAATGTCTGTCTCGCTCCTGTTCTTCACCAGTACTCTGTGAGAGCAGAACTTTGATGTACAGTTCACTGCTTTAACTCTAACACCAGCCAAGCAGTATACGAAGAACAGAAAGAGACACCCTGGGTCTCCAGACTGCAGTAGCTGCACCTAAAACAATTCTTCTCTTCAGAATCCTCCAGGCTTTCTCTGTATGGAGTGAGGAATTCATTTCTGACCCTCTTGGGATTTCTGCCTTACTCCATTCAGAATCCAGGTAGAATACTGGATCAGAGTGTAGAGTCCAAGTCAGAATACCAGGGCTCAAATCCCAATTCTTCCATTTACTAGCTGTGTGACTTAAAGGCTTTGTACATCAGTGTCCTCAACCATAAAAAAAGGACAAAGAGTACGTAAATGTGATATATACACATCATATATATAACCCACAAATATATAACCCATATATACAAAACCCATATATACAACCTATATACATACCATACGAATATATATATATAGCCCGTATGTATAGATCTCATATGCATATACGAATATATATATATAGCCCATGTGTATAGATCTCATATGCATATAGCCCATATGTATAGATCTCATATGCATATGTATAGATCTCATATGCATATATACCATACGAATATATATATAGCCCATATGTATAGATCTCATATGCATATATGTATAGATCTCATATGCATATATATATAGCCCATATGTATAGATCTCATATGCATATGTATAGATCTCATATGCATATAGCCCATATGTATAGATCTCATATGCATGTTCATGTTATAACCCATATATAATCCATGTGTATATATACAGCTCATATGTATATAACTCATATGCATACATATATAACCCATATGTACATATAACCTATATATAAAACTCACAGTATATACAGGTTATGTGTATGCATATACATAGTCTATATGTATATGTAACCTATATATATAATGCATATGCATATATATAGCTCATATGTATAACTTATATGAATATGTGTATAAGCCATATGTATATTCCCACACATATATATCCTATATATAGCACAAATATATATAAAACCCATATGTATATAACTCATGTATATATAGCCCATATGTGCATATATAACCATATGTGTATATATGTATCTAAGCCATGCACATGTACATAACTCATGCATTTATATATAATCCATGTGTGTGTATATATATAACCCACGTATCAATAACCCATGTTTGTTTATATAAAATTCATATATATAGCTCATATGTATATAACCCATATGCTTATGTGTAACCTACATATAACCCATATGTATATATAACCCATACATATATATACCCTATATACATGAGTATATATAAAACTCACATGTGTATACAATTCATGTATATATAACCCATATGTGTGTGTGTGTGTATATATATAAAACCCATGTATATATATATACATCTAAAACCATGTGCATGTATATCACTCATGCATTTATATATAACCCATATGCTATATAACCCATATACATAACCCATGTGTGTATACATAACCCATATATAATGTATATGTAACCTATGTGTATATATAAAACTCATGTATATAGCTCATATGTATATAACCTATATGCTTATGTATAGCCTACATGTAACACATACGTATATATAATCCATATGTATATATACCCTATATATAACACACGTGTATATATACACCCATATGTATATAACTCGTGTATATAACCCACGTGTATATAAAGCCATGTTCATGTATATAACCCATGCATTTATACATAATCCATATGTGTGTGTATATATATATTCTCACATACATGACCTGTGTGTATGTATATATATAACCCACATATAATGCATATATATAACCCATATGTGTATATGTAAAATTCATACATACAGCTCATATGTATGTAACCCCTATACTTATATATAACCTATATAACACGTATGCATATATACCCCATATATAGAACACATGTACATACAAGCCCATATGTAGATATAATTCATGTACATATAATCCATATGTGTATATATAACCCATGTATAGATACAAAACCATATGCATGTACATAACTCATGCATCTATATATAAACCATACGTATAGCCCGTGTGTGTGTGCACATAGCCCCTGTGTACACACAAACCACGCGTGCACCTCTATACCCGCGCGTCTAATGCACACTTCAGGACTCTCATCGAGGCCGCCGCCCCGTGCCCTGAGTCTCGGCAAGCCCTGCCGCCAACTTGGGAAACAAGGGCGCCCCCACTCTTAATCCCGGGTGCAGAACCTTGCCTACCCAGCCCACGGACGCCTGAAGGACCGGAGACAGCCAGTCTCACTACTCTTACCCTGTGAACACCTCCACCCCAGCACCCCTCCCGACAGCCGAACCCCGACCGGCCGCAGCAGGGACTCAGCGCAGCACTGCTCGGCACCGCCTACGTGCCGCCCGCACATGCGCAGTGCTGAGTCCGCCTGCTCCTGGCGCCCGAGCCCCCCACGCCCCACTGCCCGGCGGCGGTTTCCCGTCCCTTCCTTGACTGACAACTTCCGCCGGTCCTCGCGCATCTTCGGCCGGTGTTTTGCTTCCAACCCTTGCAGCAAGTCCCCCGCAACCTCCTTGCTTTCCCGCCGCGCCCCAGGGTCTCCGAGGCTCCCCCGGAAGAGGCTCTCCCTCGCGGCGCAGTTCTCGCGAGACGGTGCTGTGGCTGTGGGTTTCCCGTCCCAGAATTCCCCGCGCGAGGCGGAAGCGCGCGGTGTCGCGGTTTCCCTAGCCTTCTGCTGCCGCCTCTCCCGGAAGATGGCGGCGCCTGAGCCACCGCTGCCCGGGCCCAGGGCGTGCCCCGGCCCTGCGTCGCTGTCCCCGCCGCGGGGCGACCGCACGCTGCTGGTGAGGCACCTGCCGGCCGAGCTGAGCGCTGAGGAAAAGGAGGACCTGCTCAAGTACTTCGGGGCGCAGTCGGTGCGCGTGCTGTCGGACCAGGGCCGACTGGTGAGTGCGAGGGCCCGGGAGAGGGGGGAGGGCGAGGAGGCTCGCGTGGGGATTCCCCCTCAGCGTTCCTCGTTTAGGTCGGGATTCCTTGCGTGCCGGGTTCGGGGTGACGGGCTCGAGGCTAGACCCGCGGCAGCACTGCGGGAAAGGGCTAGTGAGGACGTCAAGGCACAGTGATGGCAGATGGCCTTGTCGCACCCCCCCCCCTTTGTCGGGTCCTCCCTGGGGACCTCACGGCTCTTCCGAATTGGGGGCGTTTGTCTTAGACACCGGAGACTCTTACAACTGTGCGGCAAGAAGGCGTTTGTAACAATCCCAGCACGTAAGGAGGCCGAGGTAGGAGGATTGCTGGAGGCCAAGAGTTTGAGACAAGTCTGGGTGACCTAAAGAGTCCTCGTCTCCATAAATTACAAAATTGCCAGGCACGGTGGTGGTTCGCGCCTGTCATCTCAGCACTTTGCGAGGTGGTGGTGGGAGGATCGCTTGAGCCCAGGGGTTTGAGACCAGCCTGGGCAACATGGGGAGACCTTATTTCTACCAAGAAAAAAATTAGCCCAGCGTGATGGTGCCAACTCTCGTCCCAGCTTCTGGGAGGCTGAGGCTGGAGGCTTACCCGAACCTAGGAGGTTGAGGCTGTGGTGAGCGATATTAGTGCCACTGCACTCCTGCTTGGGTGTCTGAGTGAGTCTCTGACTTAAAAACAAAACAAAACCAAAAGAAAAAAAAAGGTGCATTTGAAAGCCAATGGTGAATTGTAAATCAGAATAGAGGAGGCAATTCTTCAGTTGGTGATTTGAGTAAAACAGAAGATTTGTTAATCAAGAGGCTCTTCATGGTCCTTTCCGGACTGCATCCTTTAGGGAAGTGTTAAATGTCCCAGGCAGGAATGTGCACAGTTGCTGTGTTTTGCCTTATGCCTGCAGTTGTTATAGATGTAGTAGTGGGATTTCCCTTTATAAAGCAGAACTGGCAGTACCCAGTTTTTTCAGGGTGGTCTAGTTTTATTCTCCCAGCTGATTTTAGTATGTGTCAGTCAGGGTCAAGGATTGCTAAGTTAGAAAAAGAGCAATTTTGATCCACTCGTCACGAATGCCAGCAAATGCAAATGAAAGTATGTTATGTGGCTCAGTTTACTCACTTGGCTTAACTGGGTCATTTTGGTTGGAATTAGAATGTGTGCTGTGACTACTCAACCAGTCTTCATAAGTGTGGGTGGGAACTCTTCCTTGGCATGATGTCTGGTGTTACCGCCATTTTTCTTTTCTGGAGGTCTTAAACATGTTGACAATTTATGTTTAAAAATGGACGTCTCCCATTGGACCTTATCCCAAAGGTAAATCACAAATGGAAATAGGCACTAGGCCAGATTTCTCCATTGGTGGCTGATTTTGGACTTCTGCGTGGGGAGGAATCTCCAAGTGTGTCACCAATGGGAGATATTCAGAGTTAGGTGGTTAGGATGACCCTCGGGGGATGGAAACTCCTCCGCTCTTGGCTTGGTGAAATGTGTGTGTGTGAGAAATGTGCTGTGTGTGCACACGCCTTTCTGTAAAGTCATCTAGAAGAAATCTGACCCCACAAATGTTGAAAACCCCTGGACTAGAACGAGACTCCAACTCAATAAATAAATAAATAGTAAGGGAGGGAGAGAGAGAGATAAATAGGGAGGGAGAGAGGAAACCCCTGGACAAAAATTAGTGGCCGGTTGAATGGTCTTAATTCTCATCCTTTCCCATAATTTTATTAATGTGTCAAATGGTAAATTTCAGACTTCTTTATGAGAAACTGAAATTATGTTGGAAGTAATTTGTACCTTAACTCTGTTTCAGAAACATACAGCATTTGCTACTTTCCCTAATGAAAAAGCAGCTATAAAGGTAAGACTTTTTCTTTACTGTTACTGTTATCAACAGTAGCCTTTTATCCAGTCTTGGTTCAAAAAAGGGAAGTAATGTTCAGCTGTGGTTTTGCGAAGCAGAAGGGTTTGTATTCCAAGAATTTAGCCAGTGGGCTACGTTTTATTTGTCAGTTGGCAGATCTCGCCAATGTGTAGGTTTTGGGACATATTAGTAGTAGATTAACTGTGAAGCAAAGTTAACTGCATATGTAATTAAAAATAGCAAATTCTAAATGATATAAAGATTGGTGTCTCCATAAGTGTTATAAGGCAAGATGTTTTAAGTCTTAAAAGGGGAGCATATATATTTTTTAAAATGCCAGGGAATCATTCACAAAAGAAGTGACCTTTGAGCAAGATGTCTAATGATTAATTGGATTGTCGGAAGAAAGCAAGGGGAGAAAGGCCTTCTAAGTTTGGGGGACACGGAGTAAAGCTATGAGGCTTGGAAGTTGTAAGTGAGGAGAGCTAAGGTTTGAGATGGAAATGGCACTTACCAGATGGCTGGGAGAGAGATGCTGAATTTGATATAGTAGGTAGGTACTTGGTCCTTTTGAGCTGGCTTGTAGTAGATGATGAGACCTGTGAAAGGTATCTGGTAGGATTTTTATCATGGATTGGATGGATGTGGAAAAGTACAGGCTGTTAGAACAGCCAAGGTAAAGATGAGTGTCTGAGGAAGGCAGGAGGTAGACAAAGCAGGGTAGAGGGGAGACAGGGTCTGACTTACATTTCAGAGCATTGCTCTGGCTGTTGTGTGAGAATAGACTGAAAGAGGGGATGGGTAGAAACAGGGAAGTCTACTAAAGTGTTTTTGTGGTGATTGGTGGTTCCTTGGCCATTGTGGTGGAAGGGGAGGTGAGAAGCAGTGGCTAGACTCTGTATATATTTCTGGAGAGAAGCAAATAGGAGTTCTTGATAACTTGGATGTGGAATGTAGGAATTAAGGAGGATTTCAGGATCGTTGACTTGAATAACTGGAAGAATGGAGTTACCACCAGCTGTCATGGAGAAGGCCCCTGGTGGAGCATTTGAAGATGGGGGAGGGATGCGTGGTAACTTCTGAAATGCTGAATGTGAAGTGTGTTAGATACTGAGGGGAGCTGTCCATTTTGGATATGTGCTCCTGGACTTCAGGACAGAAGTCTGGGTAAGGTTATTAATTGGTGAATCATCAGCATAAGGTGGTATTTAAATTTAGAATGCTGGATTAAGTCACCAAAAGGATGTGTTTAGACTGAGAGGAAAACCTGGGTAGAGCTCTGGAGCCTCCAGTACTGATAGTGCAAGAGGGAGAAGCCAAAGAGATTGAGGAGTGGAAAACCAGTCATCTAGGAAGAAAATTATAAAGTGTGGTGCCCTGAAGCCAAGTGAGTGGCGTGTATCAGTGAGGGGGTGATCGCCTAGGTTAAAAGCAATAAATTGGTGCCTAGAAGTTGTATTGAGCTTGGCAATGTGGGATTGTTGTCTATGATAGGCAGTGTTAGTGGACTGATCAAAGCAGGAGCCTCATTGGAAGAGGTGTGGGACTGATGGGAGGAGAGGAATTTGGGAGAAAGGGTTTTACTGTGAAAGTAATAATAAAACACATTTAGATGAGAGAAATAGGAACATGTTTTTATACTGATGTGGATAATCCAGAAGAGCACAGAAAACTAACAATGGAGATAAGAACTGCCTCTGCATACATCAGAAAGGCCCTTGAGTAGTGGCGAGGGGGAGAGATTAGTGTGCAAGTCAAGCCCTTTGAATGTGGAACATGTGGCTGCAGATGCTGGTGGAGGAGGGATTACAGGAGAGTCTGAGAGTCTTATCTTGTCATGTCCATTGTCTCAGCAGGAAACAAAGTGCTAATATAAAGTAAGTGGAGAGGAACTAAAGCTAAGGAGTTAGGAGAGATGCAAAGTATTCTACTAGATCTGGGGGAAAACTGAGAGTTTTGTACATGATTGTGTGGCCTCGTTCAGACCACCCTGAGATTTGTAGATATGGCGATACCAGGCAGATTTGTCATGTTGGTTTTCTAGCTATTTTCAGCTCCCTGAATATAAGCAGAGTTGGCAGAACTGAATTTAACTGTATTTTTGTGTTGCTGTTATAGGAAGCAGTCCTTTAATAAGTAATAAAGTTTTGGTAGCCTGAGATGAAAAATAAGTAAGAAATAGCTAAGAAAATGTCGCATAATTAACAAAAAAAGTGTAGGTTATTTTTATATATGGTCTCTAACAAATCATTTTTGGCACAGTTATGAAATGTTTACTCTTGTTCTTTTAACTGAAGGCATTGACAAGACTCCATCAGCTGAAACTGTTAGGTCATACTTTAGTTGTTGAATTTGCAAAAGAGCAAGATCGCGTTCATTCCCCATGTCCTACTTCAGGCTCCGAAAAAAAGAAAAGGTATGTAGATAGTAGGTTTACTAGCTTTTAAAAATCATTAATAAAGTTATTGGATTATTTTCAGATTAGCAAGTAAGTAATTTGAAATAGCAGAGAGACATTTCTCTATTAAGTCTATCACTAAAACAGTACCTTTAGTTTTGCTCCTAATTGTGCATTAGGAACTAGTGTTGACTTAATATTAGGAGTTAATCAGTGTAAAGTAAAGTGGGTAGGGTGGAGCTGTCAGTAGTTTAAAACCTGTGTATTAGAGATAGCACAGAGTTTTGAAATCAAACTGATCTTTGGTTCCTGACTCAGACTCGTGGTAGTTGTCCATTCACAGATTTGCCTTACACTAGGTTCTGAGTGTGGTTCTATCATCTGGGACTTGATTGAAATATAAAATCTTGAATCTTAGCCCAGTCTTACTGAATCAGAATCTTAAAAGGCGAGGTTGAGGAGTTGGGGGAATGTTCTAGAAGTCTATGAATTTTAATTAAACCCTCCAAGTGATTGTGATGTACATTGAGGAATTTTGAGTGTGCTATTTTATACCATGTAAACTTCAGTTTTCATTTTGGTCAGTGAAAATTACACCATCTTCATAGACTTGCTGTGAAGAGTAAATGAAAATGTGGCGTGTTCAATATAATAATAATAATAATACAAAAGGGATTCAGTAACTGTTCGTTTTAGTCCCATTCCTTTTTATTGGTGTTTGCTTGAGAAATACCTGAATTTTATTTTAATTTTACAGTTTTTGCAATGCCATGTTTGAAAAGAGTTTATCTTTCTGTGTGCAATTTTTATTCTTTGGAAAGATAAGACCAACTTTGATTCTGTATGTGCTAGGTCTGATGACCCTGCAGAAGATGATAAAGAAAAGAAAGAACTTGGTTGTGTAACAATAGAAAATGGAATTGCACCAAACCATGGGTGAGCATTTTGTGTTTTTGTTGCTCTTTTGCTTTTATTCTACGTATTTCTATTACACATAAGATGATTTTTAAAATATGGATATTTTAGTACGTCATATATTTTTAATATTTTGAATGAACATTTTGAGACATTAGTTTTTCACTGAATTCATAGAAAGCATCTGTTAAAATGCTTGGGGGTGTAAGGTGAGCTCTGATAAGAAATACAATACCTCAATATTCTTGAATGCAATCAGAAGAAAACTTTGATTTTAAATGTACTTTCTTTGTATCTTTCAGAAACAAGGTGGTAAAACTAATAGTACTATATCATTTGAGCAATTTTGTATGTAATCATCTTACCTAAAATGAGTTATTGGTATGAAATTATTAAAACATTATAATCATTTTAAATGTGTGTTTGTTTTTTTTTTTTAAGGCTGACTTTTCCTCTAAATTCATGCCTCAAGTATATGTACCCACCACCTTCTAGCACAATCCTAGCAAATATAGTAAATGCTTTAGCAAGTGTGCCTAAGTTCTATGTACAGGTAAGTAGATTAAAACTTCCCTCAGAGCACTTGTTTGTATAACTCAGTACTTTATTTTCCATGCTGATTCTCATACTAACTTATTTGTATTATTAACTTAGTATTTGATTAATTCCAGACAGGCAATGATATATAGTATTTTAAAGATAATGAAAAAAATAATACTTTCAAGTAAAGACTTTTACAAGCTATTGTATACGTGGATACTAGGAAACAACTAATTTGGGAAATGCAATTTCTGGTAATTCTCAGTTACTCTAGAATACACTTTGAGCATAGGGATTCTTATAAAGTAATGACATAGTGAACCCCTCAGCAAATGCTTAAAAATATTGTTAATAATAAGGTAACTGAAGTAAAAAATGTAGATGATGTTTATCTTCTTTTTTGAGCTCTTCTGTGTTTTATAAATTCACAATAATCAGGAGAAAAGATAAAAAACATTTTAGTAGGTTTTATATTGCGAGATCATTACATTCTTAGTGATGGGAATAAATGTATTTTTACACTGGACAAACATTTGGGAAGGTTAATCTGAGACACACCAGTGCCTAGTTTTAACTAGTCGTGGGATTAAAAAAGCAAGGGATGTGTCTTCCCTTACACTAAATTAGTCAATAGTGTTATTGCAAAGATTTTCAGTATGTAGCATACAAGATGTGGGTTGAATTGTCTTATACTATATGATTTTAAATGTTTTACCATTTTAAGGTACTTCATCTTATGAATAAAATGAATTTGCCCACACCTTTTGGACCGATTACTGCACGACCTCCTATGGTAAGAAAGGTCTTAGAAATTTTCAAGTGTCAGAATTTCTTTTCCTGAGTGAGATTATTGAGGCTAATTTATACAAGTGTTGTAACAATCTCTGATGTACATTACATTAAGGAACAAATATAAAGTAATGTGCTGATAATAGTTAAGCTGAGGACTGAGAGTTGGGGAAAGCCAGGATAGGAATTAAATGCTTCTGATAATAGCAGCTGTCGTTTCTTTCAGTGTTGTTGAGCTCTTTGACCCAAAACATTGTGCTATCCTATAAGATAATCACACTTAACTAAGTTATCTAAAAATTCCATTTTTCTAGTTTTATTGAAAAATAGAACTTCATTTGCAAAAGACGATATAAGTTGCAAATATTTTTATTAAAATTTACTGTGCATATCTGTCAATAACTTAGAAAGTAGGCTATACCAGCTCTTCAATAATTTTAGTTATTATTTTGCCCTTAATGCATTTATAAGTAATAGCAATGCAAAAGTTTTTTGAGTGTAAAAGAGAATTTGCTTTGGGGCTGGCTGTTTTTCTAAATATTTGTACTGTTAACTTCATAATTTTCCTTATAACTCCATCACATACCCAATGCTTGGTATATCGCAGGGGTATTTATTAAGGTTATGCTTGCTGCTGTTAACAAACAAAACTTAAATTCATATTCATTTAATAACAATAATAACTATTTTTTGGTCACGTCAAGTTCATTCCAGAAGTTGGACTGAATGATATTCTCTACCATGCCACTTAAAAAACTTGAGTTGTTTGATCATATGCCTTCCCCGGTTGATGGGTATGTTGCTACACAGGCTGCAGATCAGGAAGAAAAGAGAAATCTATGTGGTTTTTCTCTGCTCCCATTCCATTTGCTAAAACATAGTCACACAGTGAAATGGAGGTTTAGAGACTTAGCCCAGCTGGATGCCAGGGAAGGAGAAATATGTTGTGAGCAGCTAGGGTCTGCCACATAGGTGCTTCCGGAAGACGTGTAGATGTGTAAAACAAATCACGAGTTAGAGGGAAGTAAGAGTCATGTATTGGAATGGAAATGGTTTGTCTATTCTGTAAATATCGATTGCCATCATACTTTTGTTATTTTAATTAGTATGAAGACTATATGCTGTTGCACGCACCTCTTCCACCCACATCTCCTCAGCCACCAGAGGACCCCCCTTTGCCAGATGAGGATGAGGAATTATCTAGTAAAGAATCTGAATATGAAAGCAGTGATGACGAAGACCGACAGAGGTTTGTAATGTGACATATTTGTTTAGATTCCAAGAAATACAAAATGTGGGAAAAAGACTTGCTCTCCATAAATGTTGTATATAATTCTTCATAATCTGAGGTCATTAGAATTTGTTTGTCCCAGTTCCCCAACTTCTTAAGCTTAGATAGTAGCTCTAGATTAAGACCTGAGACTAGATTACAAAACCAAAGGGAAAAAGTTTGGATTATGTGTAATTTTTTAAATTGGTGATTTTAGTATTATACAGTCAAGCCCCATTATTTGTGGAGTTATATTTGCTAATTTGTCTACTTGCCAAATAGGTAACTCCATAATCAATACTTACAGTGCTTTTGTAGTCATTTGTGGACACGAACATGTGCAGTTTGATGACAAATTTAAGTCAGCTTACACACAGGTTCCCAGATAGGGTTGACTAGTGATCCTGTGCCTTCTTGTTCCAGCTCTCATACTACAAACAAGTATCCTTTTCACGGTTTATGTAGCACCACCTTGTTCACATTTTTGAGTTTTTTGTGGGTGATTCTGCTGTTTTCAATAGCCCCAAGCACAATATTGAAGAGGTGTCCAGTGTTCTGAGCTCAGGAAGGCTGTGATGTGCCCTTTGAAGAAACACAGTTGTGGTTGAGTTCAGTGTTATTTAATCATTGATGTACATTATATAAGGTGTCCTTAAACATAAACACTCATATGACTAGGTCATGTGTAGATCAGGTGACATGACATTTTAAGCAGAGGCATCTAGGAACCCACCCCTCAGTGTTGGCAGTGACCTTGTAGGACATAACTGTTGCGCATGGTAGGCACTGGTCATGATCCTCTTTGGACAGTTTGTTCCCCTAGTCTTTCTTTACCTCAGCATGATTTCTAGAGCAATTCCGTGGGATTTTACACAAAACTATTCCCAGTAACTATTACAGATAAATTCTTTCTACTGATATTTTTTGACAGTCTACATATATTTTATTTAAAGATCCTAAGAGTAGTAAACTGTTAGTAATGTTCAGGTATATAATCCCCAGCCTAGCTTAGAACAGGAATTGTCAAACAACTTCTTTAAAAGTCCAAAAAATAAATATTTTTGACTGTATGAGCTAGATGGTCCTTCTTGTAGCTACTCAGTTCTCTTGTAAAACCTAGGTGAGTGACTGTGGCCTTGTTCTAACAAAATCTTAATTACAAAAATAGGCAGCTAGCTGGATTTGGTTTTCAGGCTGTGGTTTGCCAAGCCCTCACCAACAAGACTTACGGGCAAATGATGGAACTAGGCACAGAAGAAGCCAGTTTTGGAGTCTTGACATGAGTCAGAACTCAAGCAGAGACTCTAGGCAACATATATGGTACTAATTATCAGCAGCAATTTGACTGATATTGAATCAGTATCCCTCTAAGTAGTAGGTTAGCATAAAGTGTGTTGTCTTTCTAAGGCAAGTTAGAATCAAAGTGTAGGTGGGGCTGAAACTACAAAATGGAAGTGAACAGAGACATTTAGGGAAGCTAACAGTTGTGACAGATGGTAACTTTAACATGTTGCTAAATAAAGAATAGTGTACAATATTCCACTGGCTTAATTACCTGACCTCTGTGAACTTCTAATTATAGTATAATTAGAAATGCTGTATGTAGACTAGCCAAACCACATTTTTGTGTTTGTTTTGTTTACCTTTGTTTTCCTTAAAGGCTGCAGTGTTGAATTCTGCCAGCAGTTCATCTCAGGTTATGAACAAGAACATAGCCTTTGCATGTACCAGCCACTGGTTTCATGCTTCTTTGTTATTTTCTGGACAAGTAACAAAACCTTTTTTTAAAATGGTACATGTTGAGTATCTCTAATCTGAAAATTCGAAGTCCAGAAATGTTCCAAAATCTGGAACAAACTTTGTTTTATGCACAAAATTATTAAAAATACTGTATAAAATTATGTTCAAGCAACGTGTATAAAGTATACATGAAACACAAATAATTGCCATATTTATACTTGGGTCCCATTCCCAAGATACCTTATGTATATGAAAATATTCCAAAATCCAAGAAAAGTCCAAAATCTGAAACATTTCTTATCCCAAGTATTTTGGATGAGTACTCAACTTGTACTATTAACTTATTTAGCAAATATGTATTGTCTATCTAATATAGGTCTATACATAGATTGTATTATTGTATCCTGTTTAACTGTTTGGCTTGAAGTCCAGCAGTTTTATTTGGACAACTGATAATGTTTATAATAAAACATTTTTAAAAGTTGATAAATTATCATTCTTAATTTCAAAATAAGATGAAAGTTGAAAGTTGAGCAAGGCAATGTTGATCTTTTGTCAGATTCTCTCTTTGATGGCTTATAAGTTATACTTATTCCGTGTAAGTAAATTCCATGTAAGATAAGTAAATCATTTTATAATTTATACACCAAAATACAAATTCAAGCTTAACAGAAACAGTGATAAATAGCTGTGCTTCTAGATAAGGAAATCCTGTTTACTGTTCCTCTTTTCAACATAGAATGAACAAACTAATGGAGCTAGCAAATCTGCAGCCCAAAAGACCAAAAACAGTAAAGCTGCGCCACATGAGAAAAAGACGAAAAATAAAGGATATGTTGAATACACCACCTGCTTCACACAGGTACTTTGGTTTAGAATTATGAAACGAGGATTGTCTGTATGTACTTTATTTACTTAACTCACATTATTTCTCAATTGCTCTTTTGTTTCCTACCAGTCTACTTGGTTCACCATTAACTTCCTATTTGCCAAATTTACACATATTCATAATTTGCTCACAGTTGACCAGTACTTGATACTGTTGACTATCTCAGGTCTCAGAATTTTCCAGTCTGAATTTTGCGTTACTATCACTTAAGGACAGTAAGCTATATGCACAGATTATTGCTCTGGCAACTGAAATACATGACACAAAAAAAACATAAACTAAGAATAGAAGCTTGTGAAACAAGAGATGTCACAGCCAAGTTTTAAAAGAAATGAGATATTTGAGTTGGCCCTTGAAGGATGAGGAACAAAAATGAGCCAGGGAAAGGTTATTCTAGGTGAGTGGGAAAGTAAAAGAGAAATTTGCAGAGATGGGAAGATTTGTTGAATAGGAATAAAAATGATGAAAGGGAAAGCCAGAGGCAGTGGAGGTCCACCCTCAGTGTTGGGCCAGGGAGTTTGTGCTTATTGAGGAAGCCCTTGGAATGCCATTGAGATTTTTTTTTAAGAAATCCTTTTGGAAGCTGGGCTCGGTGGCTCAGCCTGTAATCCCGCGCCTTGGAAGGCTGAGGTGAGTAGATTACCTGAGCCTGTGGGTTCGAGACCCGCTTGGGCAACATGGTGAGACCTCATCTCTACAATAAATCAAAAAATTAGCCAGGTATGGTAGCGCACGCCTGTAGTTCCAGCTACTTGGAAGGCTGAGGCGTAAGGACCGCCGGAGCCCAGCAGGTCGAGGCTGCGGTGGCTGGGAGCGGCCACTGCACTCCAGTCTGGGTGACAGAGTGAGACTCCAACTCAAAAAAAAAAAAGAAATCCTTTTGGACTATGTCATCTTATAATAAGCTTCCTAGGTAATAAGCAGATTTAGGATGAGAATCAGGGCCACAGTTATGCAAGAATGTTACTAGGTATAGATTAACTTTCACTATGTCTTGAATGCTTTGTTAATGTCTAGAAGTTGCCAATGAACTATCTGTTCTGTTTCATTTGAAGTGTATTGTCTTTTTTCCTTTGAATCTCTATAACAGTTCTGGACAATTGAAATAAATAATGTGATCTACATTAGTCTTCCTTAGCTGTTTAAAATAGTGAAAAGAAACATGAAGTTAATATTGATACTATAACTTATTAAACTCAATATATCCAAAATACTATTTCAGCTTATAATCGATCTAAGAGTTAGAGATATTTTACATTATGTTTTTATACAAAGTCATGAGTCTTGTGTGTATTTTACAGTTATAGTATATCTTAATATAGACAGCAACAGGTTAAGTACTTATCAGACACATGTGACTAATGGCTACTCAGTAGATATCACAGCACTGTTTTATACAATGTAGAAAATAGAGTACATTAAAATACTTACATTAAACACAGAGTGAAGTGTTTTTGCATGTTGAGAAATATCCTGGGGTTTAGAATTAACAGTGATCATATCCTTTCTCTGTCATTTATGGAGTGGCTTTATGCAAATTATTAACATCCGGCTGTTTTATCTATAAACTAGAAATTTAATACTACCTATATTAGAACATTTGATATAGCTGGGCTCGGTGGCTCAGCTTGTAATCCCGCGCCTTTGGGAGGCTGAGGTGAGTGGATTGCCTGAGCCCGTGGGTTCGAGACCCGCCTGGGCAACTTGGTGAGACCTCATCTCTACAATAAAAAAAAAAAAAGTAGCTGGGCGTGGTAGCGTGCACCTGTAGTTCCAGCTACTTGGAAGGCTGAAGTGGAAGAATCACCGGAGCCCAGCAGGTCGAGGCTGCGGTGGCCGGGAGCAGCTACTGCACTCCGGTCTGAGCGACAGAGTGAGACTCCAACTCAAAAAAACCAAAACAAAACAAAACAAAAAACATTTGATAAAGCTTATCTAAGTCACTTTGTGTACTATTTAAAATATGGTGAATGCTTCATCAGTGATAGCCTTTTAAATTTAAGGTAAATTTGAAATAGTATGTTGCTCAAGATTTTATTTGCAATTGCAGACTAATGCTGTGATTGTTTTTAAATAGCAATTTACATCCAGTGCTGCTACCTTCAGATGTATTTGACCAACCACAACCTGTGGGTAATAAAAAAATTGAATTCCACATATCTACTGACATGTCGACTGCCTTTAAGAAAGATTCCGAGAAAGAACAAAATTTTGAGGAAAAAAATTGTGGTAAGGATATTCTAGTTCTTTGGTTTTGCAATTATATCTTCCCCCAATCATGGAATACTCATTTGCAACTTTGTAATATAACTAAAATTAAGTGTTAAATGGCAAGTTTGTCACGGCTACGTTTTGCTGCTAGCGCTAAAAGGCATCCAAATCGATGCGTTCAAAAACTGAGCAGTGGAAAAAGCATCTTGATAAGTGTATTGCATGAAACACAGTACTTTGAAGGTGACTGAAATTTAAACATGTAAGGATAAATACACACTTTTTTATAAGTAAATTCTGTTTGGTTTTTTTTTTTAAAGGTCCCCCATCATATACTTTGCTTTATTTTCACAGCTTTTTAGAGCTGTTTTTGTTTTTAGATAGTGTAGCTAGAATGTTTCTAGTGAATCCTAATCCTATCTTTCCAAACTCTTTCCCCAATCTAATTTAATTCTTACTAATGCTAAAATTTACATTTTATGAACGAAATCCAGTGTGTTGCTATCTGAGATTTAAAAATTGCAGTGTTTTTGAATTTTCTTAAATGAGTAATTTTGTAAGTGTTCTAATATTTGTTTTTCTTTACTTTGTAGGATCAGGATTAGGATTGATTTTTCTGAGGGAGGAATTGATAGATTTTCTTTTTTAGTATCCCCAAATGGGAATGTCTTATTTTATAATGTTTATTCTAACTTAATATGCTGATCTTACTCTTTTAATAGTTGAGAAGGATGAAGGTTGTTTTACAATATTCTGTCGTAGCACTATGAAGTCTTCACACACATTGTGTAAATAATCTTGAGAGACATTCCATTAGCAGAATGCTTTTGCAAATTATGTAATTTATTTAATTACAAATTTACTTTTGTTCATGCAGTTATTAATAATTCAGGTGGGTACGTTAAAGAAAATACCAGTTATTGCTCCCAAAATACATACTTTACCCACTGAACATTTTCATCATATGCCTCTCTGGGACTGGACCTCAGACTAAAAAATGTTGAAAGTGTTGAAATTGTCCACTAAACAGCACCACAAAGCAAGCACTTGACATTTAACTGTTGTCTGTGGTAGAGCTGAATGTTCATGACAGAATCATGGGACCTGTAAAACTTAAAATATTGACTGTTTGGACCTTTATAGAAAAGTTGCGTGTGCTTGTTCTAGAACGAGAAACATCAAATTTTAACACCATAAGACACATGATTAAGGTTAAAGGGAGAGGATTGAAATTCAGTTTTGAACAGAGGGATTTTTAACGACTGCTGTTAATGTTGAACTCTTAGATTTGCCCACTGCTGAAGTTGATGCATCCAGTATTGGATTTGGAAAAATCTTCCCAAAACCTAATTTGAACTTCACAGAAGAGATTAAAGAGGACTCTGATGAAATGCCATCAGAATGTATTTCTAGAAGGGAACTGGAAAAGGGCAGAATTTCTAGAGAAGGTAATGTCATGAAATGAACTAAGCACGTATTCCACATAACATTTTCTTGACTCTGTAGAATCAAAGCAAATGATTTATGTTAGGAAGGCACATACTTCAAAACAGCTCTTCAATTAATGTTTATAATCACTTTTTTTGTTTTTTAGCACTCATACTTTGTAGGGGGGGAACGTTCCTTTCCATGTAATGTTTTCAGTCTGTATTTGTTTGGGAAAAACTATTGTTTCTATTCCTAAAACTTTTATGTGACATTTAAAATAAATCAATGTGTCCCACAAACTGGAGTTTTATATTCCAAATACAGTTGAAAGAGCATCACAAATACTGTGTCTGAGATGTTGACAAAGAAACTTAAAAAAAACTGTTTAGAAATACATGTTTTAGGATTTTATATCCTAACATGATAGTTTTTTTTTACATCTAAAGGATTTTTACTTTTTTAGTACATTTTAAGGTGATATTTAGATGCTTTACATTGATGTTACACATAATTTTCCTGATAATGAGTAATACAACTAGCATTTTTACACAGAACATGTAGTTGTCAAGAACAGATTACTGACATTAAATAGGAGGAACTATAAAGAGGTTCAGAGGCCACAGTTTGTCTGAAATGGCTGATTATTGTGTTTTAGTACTTTATTCTTACATTTGAATATGAAGGTGACAGGGGGCTTGGGAAATTCTCTTTAAGCAAAATGATTATACATGTGATTGATTACAAATATGCTTTAGTCTTTTTAATAAAGTAATTCATCTTTAGAACCTTTAATAGCAGATATCGTATTTATTTTAGTTATAATTTAAGTTATTCTAGATGTCTGAAATTTTTTTAAACAAAAGTTAAAAATTTTCTGTATAATCAATTCAGATTTTTAATGAGTATTTTTATATCCATTTGTAATATTGTTACTAATTTTATTGTTTTAACATTTTCATAAGGCTTATTCTATTAGTTATATTTGAAAGTTACTATAGTTTTCTTTGAACATTTGTTGTAAATATTTTAATTTTATATTCTTGTTTTGTTTTGTTTTAAAATAAGAAATGGAAACACTTTCAGTTTTCAGAAGTTATGAACCTGGTGAACCAAACTGTAGAATTTATGTAAAGAATTTAGCTAAACATGTTCAAGAAAAGGTAAGTTGGAATTTATAAGTTTATTTTCGTTATGTAAATGAAAATAGTTTGAAGTTTTTATATTAACCCTTGAGATGTTACTGTAAAAGTCTATGTGGAATTACCTTTGAGTGTGTTTTTTTTTTACTCTTCACTTCAGAGCATGCCAAATTATTTAATATTACAAAGTATTTAGTATTAATTACTTTAATTAAAATATTTTTATAGCTACTCTTCTCTGGTAGTACACACAGAGTTGGGGGAATGTTTAATTTCCTTGGGCAGCCATAATAAAGTACCAAAAGTGAGTGATTACAACAGATTTATTATCTCACAGTTTTGGAGGCCGAGTCTGAAATCAAAGTTTGCAGGATTGGTTCCTTCTGAGGACTGTGAGGGAGAGATCTGTTCCATGCCTCTTCCACAGCTTCTGCTGATTACCAGCAATCTTTGACCTTTCTTGACTGTGGCAGCCTAACTCTCAGTTTCTCCCTTCATCTTTATGTAGTGTATTCCCTAAGTGTCTAGGTCCAAATTTACCCCTTAAAACCACCAGTCATTGGATTAAAACCTGTCTTATTCCAGTGTAACCTTATTTTTTTTCTGACTTCTTTGTCTTTTTCTTGTTTAAATTCAGGACCTTAAATTTATTTTTGGAAGATACGTTGACTTTTCATCAGAAACACAGCGGATCATGTAAGTGATGGTGATAATACCAATTTATGTTTTGTTTGTTTTTGTCTGTTACAAATTTGCCCTTTTTTATAAGCCCAATATTTTCCTTTCAGAGGTAAAAATAATGTGAAAAAGTTGGTTTGTTCTGTTGCACAATTCATCTTTCAAATGTCTAGAATGGGAGTTGACAAACTTCTTTTGTAAATAGGCAGGTAGTAAAAATTCAGTATTTTTATTTTCTTGTAGGTCACACTGTGTCTGTTGCAACTACTCAGTTTTGTAGTTGTAATGTGAAAGCATCCATAAATAATACCTAAATCAGGGGTCCCCAACCCCCTGGGCCTGTGACCTCTACTGGTCATGGCCAGGAGGTGAGTGGCAGGCTAGCAAACAAAGCTTCATCTGAATTTACAGCCACTCGCGATCGCTGGCCTGTCTGAGCTCTGCCTTCTGTCAGATGAAGCAGTAGCATCAGATTCTTATAGGAGCGCAGACCCTATTGTGAACTGTGCATGTGAGGGATCCAGGTTGTGTGCTCCTTATGAGAATCACATGCCTGATGATTTGGTTCTTGATACCAAAAAGATTGGGTACTGCTGCCTAAATGAATATTCGTGACTGTATCCTGACAAAATTCTTTACAGAGACAGACCTCATGATAAATTCTGGCCCCAATCCCCTCTGCAAAGCGGTGGTTCTTGGACTTTTAAATTGCCCAAAAATCGCCCAGAGAGCACAGTAGAACAGTTTTCTGGGTCTCATGAATAAGATCCATGGATAATTTGTGTTGCTAAAAAACTCTTGAACGATACTGAGGTAGCAGATCCCAAGACCGTGCTTTGAAAAACATTTTTTTAATGAAGTATCCAGGAATATATAGCAGTGAGGCAAAATGTTTTAAATTCTTACCCTTGCAGTAAATTCTCATCTTTTAAATGGACATTAAACAAGACTCCCAATTTTTTTAAAGCAAAAGGGAGGGATGTGATTTGTAAATGATATGAAAGCTATGGTTTGGAGTTAGAATTTCATTCTGTAAAATTCCGTATTTGTTAATTCCAAAGTAAGAAACTGTCATATAAATTAAAAGTAGGAAGAAGTAGAAAAGATAAGGCGAGAGACGTTTGAGTAGAGATAAAATAGAAAAGTGATTCTAACTAGTTAATTTTGTTTTATTTTTCAAGAGAAAGCAATATTTATAAAATCTCATCTTGCCTGTTTATCTTTTTAGATAAGCATGCACAAGTAGAAACATGTTTTAAAATTCTCCGTTTATATTCATTAGTGGCCGATATCCCTTATTAGGTTGCCAAATGCTTGCTGTTTCCCATGAGGCTAGTCATGTGATTTTTTTTTTTTAAAGCATTTTATTGAATTTTTTAGTTGATTTTTGTGTGTGTGTTTTTGCTAGTTCCATAGACTAAAGAGGAGGCAGTATTTCAGTTGCAAATTACAATCTGGTTACAAATGTGCTGAATATTTGAATATAATTGTCTCTCAAAAGTTTTGAAAAATGAGTACACTATAGAATAATACCTCACTATATTAGGAATAAAAATAACTGGTCTGTGTTTCTTTCTGACTTCATCTGCTTTGAAGAATTATTCAGTCTCTGTAGGAATTACCTGTAAAATGATGGTTTTGACTGCATAATCACTGAGTTTCTTTCCAACTGGGCAATTCTGTAATTGCTTATAATTGACTCCTATCAGCCCTTCTATTCTTGGTTGTATAGCTTTTTGTCACTTGAGCAGATAGTACTGAATTGGCTTGAAGAAGCTTTTAAAACATAGAGATGAAATAAATTAAATTTGCTTTTATAGTTGCTAGGAATATAACTTTTAAGTTACATTAATATATTTGTAAATAATTTTTTAAAATAGATATAAGTACATCATAAACTTCTATTACCTATATATAGAATCAACTTTAGAATAGAATACAAAATATAATTTTAGAAAACTGAATAATTGACATGCTAATCAGATAGTATAGTCATTTTTACTTTGAAGTTGCAGAATTTCAAATTGTTCATCATATTTACATTCACTTCATTGTAATTAACATTTTCATAATCAAAACCACTCTCTCTTCCTTGACTTCTAGGTTTGACATACGCTTGATGAAAGAAGGTCGCATGAAGGGACAAGCTTTCATTGGCCTTCCAAATGAAAAAGCAGCAACAAAAGCCTTAAAGGAAGCTAATGGATTTATTCTTTACGGAAAACCCATGGTGGTTGTATCCTTTAAATCAATCTGTTTCAAAACTATATAATTTTTAGAAGAAGAGTATAACTGCAGCTAATGTTCATGTTATCTGTTAGAAATTTTAACAACTGACATTCTAGCTTAAGATATTCTGTTACAGTTGAACATGACTTAGCTGAGTCAGATGACAGTGCTATTTATATTTTTATTGGAAGATAAAGGGACTTAAACTGCATAAGGTTATTAAATTTCAACTAATTTAAATATTTCACTTATATACCTTAAAATTGTATACTCGTGTTAAGTCTTAAGAAACAATATACAGAGATACATTTGGAGTTATTAGAGAAAGAATTCAACCAGTTGTGGTGGCTCACATCTGTTATCCCAGCACTTTGGGATTGCTTGGTTCCAGGAGTTTGAGACAGGCCTGGACAACATAGTGAGGTGCCTACCATCTCTGCAAAAATATTAAAAAATTAGCAGGGCATGGTGACACACACTTGTAGTCCTAGCTACTGGGAAAGCTGAGGCAGGAGGATTGCTTGAACTTAGCAGTTCGAGGGTGCAGTGAGCTATGATTGTGCCACTGCTCTCCAGCCTGGGCTACAAAGCAATATCCTATCTTTTAAAAGATAAGAAAATGCATTGTGGTGTTGCTATTATATTGTAATTTATATCTCTACTTGAGAATTTTCAAAACCAGAATAAATCACTGATTAACTATCTTACTTTTAATAGTATATGCAGTTTCCAAACTAAAAATCAGCAGGATAGGTAAAGAAGAAAATGTACAGGTGTAAACAAATAATGACTGTAAGGAAAAGGTTAAATTTTTTATTTCCTCTCCGAGTCATTGGCAGAAGCAGGAAGAACTCAAGGTAAATTAAAAAACTATATACTCCTGTGTTAGAAAGTTGTTTATAGTTGTTTAGAAAACATTGCTTTCATGTTCATGAAGGAAACCTTAATTTTAAAATATTAGCAATTTGCTCGATCTGCTAGACCAAAGCAGGATTCTAAAGAAGGAAAAAGAAAATGTTAAAAATTAATAAAGGTAAGTATGGGTAAGACATAAAGAAGGCAAGGCTATTTCTTGAGATAAAACTGAAGAGCCTGATAGAGCAGGAATTCAGGTGTCTCTCAAGATTTTTTAAGGAATATCTTTCTTTCTATGTACATAGTTCCCATGAAATTTCACAATTATGACAGCAGAATAAAGCCCATTTGTATGTAAAAGTTACATTTGGAGAATAAATTTTCTAAGGGGAATATGTCTGTTTTTCTTCTTTTACTTTTTGTCCCCTGGAGTAAAGCAGTGATTCTTAAACTGTAATGTATATTAATAAGCACTTGAGAGCTTGGTCAGACACAGATTTGGGGCTTCTCCCTTCCCTGCATGTGTTTCAGATTCAGTAGGTCTGAGGTAGGAGCCTGGTCACCCACTATCCTGTCCTAATTTTCCTGTAAATGAGGGGTTTTCCAGGATGCCAGCTTTCAGTGCTGAGATAGGAGAAGTGTGTGGCAAGCCAGGCCAAGTTGGTCACTTGTGATGGCACCTGATAATTTGCATAACTAATGAGTTTTCAGGTAATGGTGAGGCATCTAGTCCAGGACCACACTTCATTTTGAAAACTGAAGTGAACATTGAAAGCTAAATTTTTCGAGTCCTGAAATTCTACAGTGCTAACTATATAAAATTAATTATATTTTAACACACTTCACACAAAAAAATGTGAAATTAAATCTTCTATATTTGAAACAATTTTAATGCATACTTAAGTAATTTAATAATTAAAAATGGTAGAAGCAAGCATTTTAAATGTTAAAGTTTATTACATTGTTTAAGAAAAAAGTGGAAATATAGTCCTTTTGTTTTTTATTTTACATTTTTCTCCTTTTGTAAACTGGATGCACATGAAATAAATTGACCAAAATTACTGATGTTTAGCTGAAAAAAATTAATAGGAATATATGAGACCATTTTGCTTGTTTAGTTCCTCTGTGAGATCCTTGAATATTTGTTTTATTGTAAATCTATACTGGGATAGTCAGAAATCTTATAAATACATTAGAGGAAAAATTAATTCATTCTGTATTAAAAAATCATTTATTTGTAAATCTGATGCTGAAAAATAAGAAAAAATTTAAACTGCATTCTGCTGTTCTTCTTTAGAAGCATTCCTGCGTAAATACTGCTGTAATACTGTCATGCAAAGTGTATCCTTTCTTGTCGTATCCTTTTTGGGGCAGTGTTTTTGTTTTTGTTTTTTCTAGAAATGTTTGTCCCTCCACCTCTTGATCCATATTAAGCAGTTCTTTTTTACACTTTATTCAAAGGAAATACTTCTAAGTTATTTATGTAGATTGAGCAAATCGCTTATGTGTTTTTTAGATTTGTTGTTCAGTTCCTTAGGTTTTATATCTTTTCCAGGGAAAGTTAGTGAATCAGGTCAACTTACTTGAAAAGTGTATGCATTTGCTTTAACACAGAATGTCATCTTATTGTTGTACTTGTGCATTTCCTAAACCTAGTACAGTAACATATGCTTTCTGTTTATGATATACCTGGTCTAGGTGTTTTATGTAGCATGTTGTAAAATTTGATTGTGGAAAGGAATTGTTTTTTCTCTTAAGAAGACCATATGTTGAAAATTAAAATTAAAATAACTGACTTTCTATGTAAATTTTAAATAACAATTGACAGACCTCATATGTGAGGTCATATTATTGAAATTTCCTTTGACATAGAAGCAAGTAGAAAAACCCTTTTTTCTTTTTCCAAACAAAGAAAGGAGAAGAAAAGAGTAACAGAGGGGAGAAGACATAGTGTTGACTCAGGATAGCACATTAAGTGAAACAATTTTGGTTAGGTATATAAGAACAGAGGTTTACAGAATGGTTGATGATCAGAATCACCCAGAACAGTGGCTGTCAGTCTTGGCTGCACACTGAAATGATCTGGGAATTTAAAAAAAAAAATACTGAGTTTAAAAAAACCAACTTTGACAAATATATTGAGATTGGTTCCCTCAGAATTTTGATTTAATGTGTTTGAAGTACAATATGGATGTAGGAATTTTGTAAGCCTCTCGAGGTGATTGTAATAGGCATCCAAGGTTGAGAACCACCAAAAGGGGATTTTTATGCTTAAAGATTCCTAGACTGTATCTTAAAACTAATACATTAGAATCTCTGGGTATGGGGTCTGAGAATCTAATACGAAAAAGTTTGCTTAGTAATTCTAAGGACTAACCAGTTAGGTTTCTCCTTTGTTAGAGTACAATGGTTAGTCTCCTAATACCAGTGTAGACATCCGACCTCGTAGAAGTAGGAAAATAAAGGGTTGAAGCCTCTAGAGTTCTTTGGTGGATTCTACTATTAGTTCTAAGAAAGCAACCCAACCCTGTTAATAATTATTACCACCACAAAAGTACAAAAAGCTATACATATTGAAATTATAATTGTTATTTTTGTGTAGACACAATTAAAATGTTTATGTTTTAAATCACAGTTTTTGTATAAACTGTTCATTTAGATAATTAACTTTTGTTGTACTGACATGATTCACTAATTTTCTAAATATAAAAGTCTTAGCTTTTAGTTATTTTTTAAGCTAATGAACTGTTTGATAATTATGGTTATTTTTAATGAACTTTTGTGATGTTTTAGGTTCCCTTTTGAATTCCATGTGTTTCAAGTGCTTTCCAACTTTGAGAGGAAGAAATTGACTGCCTGGACTATGGAACTGTGCGTAACAGCTTTAAAAATGTATTTAAAAATTATATCTATATGCATTTAAATCAGATAATTAGAACTATATTACATGTATTTTAATGACTTTTCGCAAATATAATAAATTATTTTCTTTCCACTAAAATAGTGTTTGTAATTTTTTGTGTTGTTTCCTACATCTAAGAAAATGTATTTTGATAATTACATAAATTTTATATTAAGACAATTTTATGATACAATTTTTTTTGAGATTACAAATACTGTCTTTTCAAAAATTATTAGGTGGATACGAATGCATTTAATTTGTTTTATTGGTTGTTTTATTTTGTTTTGTTTTGTTTGGGGGAGTTTTTTAGTAGTGGAAGATTTATCCTAGTTTAGGGCATTTATATCCTTGCCCTAATTTGGTCTTCCATTTTGTACCTCCAAGTCTGTCATCTGTGAGAATATCACTCAAGGTGAAAATGTTTCCCATGTGAAATTATTCTAAATTACAGGTGACTCACACCTGTAATTTAGGAGGTGTAGGCAAGAGGACTGCCTGAGCCCAGGAATTCAAGACCAACCTATGCAACTTGGCGAGACCTCGTCTCTATAATAAATCAAAAACTTAGCTAGGTATGTGGTTCCAGCTACTTGGAAGGCTGAAGCAGAAGGATCACCTGAACCCAGCAGGTCAAGGCTGCAGAAGCTGTGAGTGTGCCACTGCACTCCAGCCTGGGTGACAATGTGAGACTCCAACTTAAAAAAGAAAATTATTTGGGTCCCTTAGCGAAATTAGTTTCAACTGTGAGTAGGAAAAAATTGGGTTTTTAAAAATTTTATTTGTTCTTATTCCTGAGTATGTAATAACAGCTTCACCTGCCCTAAGGCTCAGGTCTTTTAAAAGGCTATTGTGAATCATAGATTCTTCTTTTTTATTTACAACATTGTGAAGTGTGTAGAGTAAAAATATTTAAGATAGGAATGATAAATATGGAAAAGTAACCCCTGAAACATGCCACTGTTTAGATGTCAGATAGGTATAGAACTATTAAAGAAGACTGGAAATACAGCTAGTAGCAAAGTGAAGAAAGTATCTCAGGCAGGAGGAAGAAGTGATCAAATACGTAGGGCAGAATTTAACAGTGAGAAATGGATCGTTAATGCAGGGTAATGTACAAAGAAGTTTATTTTGTTTTTAAGATTGAAGATAGAGCATATTTGTATGCTAATTGACTGAAACAATAGAAAAAGTTCCTTTTAAAGATGAGCATGCAGACAGCTCATTGGGTAACAGGATAAAGGGCACATTAGGGAGGTCTAGGTGCTTGTCGTTTGCCAGATGGTAGCAACATGTAAAATTTTTGGTTTTTGTTTTTTCAGTTAAATAGGAAGCAAGGTTAAGAGGAAGAAAGTCATGAAGGCTGGAAGAAAGAGTTGAAAAATAGGAAAGTGGGAAAGTAAACATACTCTTAGAAGGACTGCTAGGCAGCGCCTAAGTACGTACTTGCACCTGCAGTCTGTGGTTGTTAATCTAAATGAGATCATCAGCATGGTTTTATGTTTTTCTACAGTTAAGTTCATCTTGAGTCTGTCACTGGGTAGGCACAGCGCTGAATTTAACCAAAGTTGAGATCTTCCTGGAAGAACACAAGAAAGTTGGAAACAGGCTAAAGTGTTGCTATATCTAAGAGCATAAAAAAGTTGGAAACAGGCTAAAGTGTTGATATATCTAAGAGCGTGATTCTAAAGGAGGGACATGGAGAGTAATCTGGGTGAGGAGTGAAGTGAGAAAATAAAATGGAGACACATTGAAAATGGGATGACTAGTTGTACGCTGCAGTATGCAGTGCGTGTTGAAGTTCTTGAGGTCGGAACTAGAAATTTGGGAGGTTGAAATAAGAGTAGAGTGACCGAATTTAGGACTCGTAAAGCAAGTGCAGTACTTAATTTTAAGTTTTCGATTATGGCACTGGAAGTAGGGTAGAGGCATGGTGAGGGAAGGAGATGAATTCGAGAAGGATAGAGCCTCGAGTATTGACAGGAGTATCTCAGTGGATTTTGAAATGTGAAAAGTAGCTCTGCTGAGTAACAGTAATCATTTTATCTTTACCACCCTATGAAAAGAACACTTTTCTTTGTGAGTAAAGGAGAATTTAATACGTCAACTGTCAAAAGCTTCACTGAATTTAATTCTTTACTATATTAAAAAAACAGTGACCTCATTAGGATTATTAAGTACAGATGTGAGTTCGCCACATGTATCAGACTCCTATAAGAGGTAAAACTGATGGTTCTCCCAAGAGGTTTTTGCCACAAATACTTAAGCCTTAAATAGTCTACTCTGGCATTTTCTGAAAACAAACTAATAGAAATATAACATTCATAATAAACCTAATAGAAAATCTTAAAAATAGAAAGTAACCAAACATTGAAAAAGTTTCAGGAAAGAGACACCCCCCAAGCATGAGGTCTAATGGGAAGAAGAAAAAACTAGGAAATCTGTTATGACTTTAGAATATCTATGACTAATATACAAAGACTTGAGGTGGTTACCTGTTTTCAAAAGTATCAGTTAGAGATGAGAAAAGGAGTATCTGACTACATAACAATAGATTTTATTTTAATTTTTTAAAATTATAAAATAGGCTGGACTCAGTGTTTCAGCCTGTAATACCAAGTACTTTGAGAGGCCAAAGCGAGTGGATTGCTTGAGCCCACAGGTTTAAGACCTACCTGGGCAACTTGGCGAGACCTCGTCTCTAAAATAAATCAAAAATTAGCCAGGCATAATAGCCCGGCATTCCGACTACTTGGAAGGCTGAGGCAGAAGGATCACTGGAGCCCAGCAGGATAAGGCTGCGGTGGCTGGGCGCGTGCCACTGCACTCCAGTCTGGGCAACAGAGTGAAACTCCTACTCAATAAATAAATAAATAAAATTGTAAAATAGCACATAATACAGTATATACCAGGATCTTTAAAAATCTGGAACTTCAAGAAGAAAATCTGAGCTATTTTATGAAACTTTTCAGACTTTAGATAAAGATAGACAAAATACCATTATATATTGTTAATGGAAACATAAGATGAAGTAAATAGCAAAAACATGCATGGAAATATACCAACCATGGAAGACATTGATGTCATGCCCTGGAAGGAAAGGGTGGAAGGGAAAGACATTAAGGTTGAATAGCAAGCTCCATGTACACTATTTTTCTTTTAAAAAGATATTTAAATTCATTTCTTGTTTTTCAAATGTTCAATAAAAACTTTTTTCTGGTACAGTTTTTATTTCTGACCTCATACCTACATGTAAAATGTATTGTTCACTAATATCTCCTCCCTGCAAGTAAAATATACCCCCATCCTGTTAAATTTGGGAACGACTGATTTGTTTTGACAGTAAAATGTGAGCAGAAATAATATGTGTTACTTTAGGACCTCCTGGATTGTTAAAGCATGTGTCAAAATGAAGTTTTTGTGACGTAATGCAAAGAGATGCATAAGAAGAGGCTCCTTGTTGATCTGAGATGAACGTGAGAAATTGGACGCCACTGAAAATTTTTAGGTTTTTCTGTTTGTTTTAGCTGGGGCATAACCCATTCTAATTGATAAAGCCACTAAGTGTCCGTAAGCTATTTAATTATCATAAGATATCTCCCTTGGGATACGGAAAGTCAAGAGAAGCCATAATATCAGAGAGTGTTAGCAGTGAGAGACTATGAGAATAAATTAGTTCAGTGGTTTCCAGACTTGAAGTTCTAAGTAAGTAAAATTTCCAAAATTTGTGTAAAAATGATACTTCCATAGTAATGAAATTTAACTTTATAAAAAACTACCATTAATACATTGCTCCCTCCTTCCCTCTCATTTGGAACCAGTTACCTAAATATAATCCTCTTATTTTATTAAACAAGATTGAAGGATGAGACAAATAACAGTTACTTCAGCCCTTTATATCCATGAGTTTTGCAGCCGTGAATTCCATCAACATCATATGGAAGTCTTGGAAAAGAAAAAAGGCTTGTGTCTGTGGTGGACATGTATAGACTTTTGTTTTTCCTGCCATTATTGCCTAATCAACACAGTATAATGCCTATTTACATTGCTTTAAGTATTATAAGTAATCTAGAAATTGTTCGAAGTGTACAGGAGGATGTACGTAGGTTACATGCAAGAACCGCATTTTAATAAAGGACTTGAACATTTGTGGATTTTGGTATCCATGGTGGGTCTTGAAACCAATCCTGATATGGAGGGTTGAGGGATGACTGTATTTAAACAGATAATCACTCTAAAAATTACAAAACCTTTTGCTTGGTAAATACAGTCATGTGTCTCCTAAATGTATCTTGACTACACTTTTTTCATGTTTAGATACACAAGTACATTGTATTACAATTGCCTATAGTATCCAGTTCAGTAACATGCTGTACAGATGTGTAGCCTGGGAGCCACAGGCTGTACCATCAAGGTGTGGAAGTATGCTGACACTGCACAACGGAATCACCAAAGGGCACGTTTCTCAGAACATATCCTTGTCATTAAGCGATGAAAAAAAAATGCAGGCATAGCTTTGACACTACCCTGATTCTTATCAAACATTCATGACTACATACTTTTGTTTTCATCTAGAAAGAAAAAAAATTAAAGGTTTGATAGCAATTTTTGCTGAGAGTGTGGTAAGAGGTACTATAATATATTACTCCTAGAAAGTACACATTGGTACCTGTTTACGGGTAATTTTGCGTAATACTAAACTGTAAAAGTGTACTCCAAGTTCCACTTACCTAGCCAACAGAAATGTTCACCCATGTGTTGACATGTACACAGATACTCATGATAACATTTCATCTAGTAGCAAAATCTTTGGTAATAAGTGTTCAAGCATTGAAAAATGGCTAACATAACAGTTGATGAGTCTCCTATGTGATCTTAGTCCAGTTAGCATAGTCTGTATTTCAGTCCTTTAAAAGACTCGCCTAATGAGCTGTATGTATGTAGACACTTGTAAAAGGAATGTATTCTATGTCCATCTGGTCAAGTTGACCAGAACTTGTTGAAATCCGGTTGTTCTAAGAACTACTGAGGCTAGTATGTTAATAATCTTCCATTATAATTGTGTATTTCCTGATTTTACTATTCCACCAAATTTTTGCTTT